TTCTTAAACCGTATTATAGTTGTTTATAAATTAAATATTGAATTATTAAATAATTAATAATCACTATCTGAGTTGACTCTACTTCTGAATTTTTTAGTGTTTTTGGACGAATCTTGTTCATTAATTACTGTACCTATTACGCATATAAATTAAACGTATGTACCTACATTTTATAAATTATTGTAATATACCTTTATGATATTAAAAATCAAAATTATTTGCATAATAGAACTTAGTTTATACAAACAAGTATTATGATCATATAATTTAAAATTCAATGTTAACAATTAGATTACACTTTTGTGTGAATCAAAGGTTTAAAAAAAATCTATTATTCTTGAATGGTTTTTATGAAATAACTATTTAAAGTTGTTTCATTGCAAACTTCTAACAGGATTTTCTCAGAACAAAGGCTTATTTTGGCTTTTACAAACTATCTATTATAACCTTACATGATCTCAAGAAAAGAGAGACGTAATATCTGAAATTGTTGAATAATACTTCTTAGAAACTTTAAGAAACATATATAATCCWCCATTTTAGCTTAGGGATAATAATCTATATACCTATTGAAAATGTAGGATATAAAGCGTTTTTAAATAATTAGATTATTACGTACATTCTGGTTTTAAGCACAGTTGTAGTACTAGTAARTTTTTATAAATATTTAATACGTAACTACGTTAGTTGAACGTTTTTCATTAATCGTGATTAAGTAATAAAATTAYGTCATTAAAAATGTAAGTTTTTTATAATATTTGTTTAATATAGTTGAAATTATTTGAAAACGATTTCAATTCAAGTTTCATTGCTTATTTATTATTTTTAAAAATCTATTTATTTATCTATTACATTTGGATTCAAAGTTCTTTTCCATAAAAACTAAAAATATAATTAATAGATTAAGCGAGCATGTGAATATTTATGATCGAAAATGTTTTGAATCAAATTTGTCGCGTAACTAAGAATTTAGGTGTATATCAATTCGAAAATGTTCCGAATTAGATTAATGTTGTTTACATAGTTTTGTCAGATACTTACAATTAGGCAAGTTTTAAGTTTATGAGCCAGTTAAGCATTTTTATTTTTTCCCACGTATCGAAGTTTTTCATTCTGGTTAACTGATCCGTAAAAGTTGAGAATCGAAAAACTTTTTCTGTGGCAGACACGGTAAAAGCCATATCAGACAAGTTCGATGTCAGGAGCGTCGGTTTGATGGATGCTCTCTAATCACGGTAAACCACTTTTAACCGGCAATTTTCTTCTCTGCGTCCGCTTCATTAAACACATTAAGTACTCTATCTCTTTAAAACTCATCCTTAGGTCAAATAATAGTTAATTTTATAAACACTTAAATAATACTAACCCTGTAATAAATGTATCATATTATA